CCGAAACAATTTAATTTAAAATTCTTCAGACGGTATTTATTAATCAGTTTATACATTTTCAACGTTTGAACTTTTAATTTAATTTACGAATTTGAATCAATTATGATCTTTTATTTATATCCTGCTTTCTCTTTTAAATCCGAAATAAGATATTATAGTCGGTAGATACAGTACATTTTGATTGTATATCGTAACAAAATTGTTTCATCAAAATGATTTACTCAAAAGAAAGAAATGTAACTTTAAAATAATAATATAATGAGTATAGCATAGTGTAGTTTAGTATATATTACATAATATATCGTTTTGTATGCTGCCACGCTGGTATTACATTGTGAATATATTTATGTTTGCATAATCGGGACCTTTCAGAGAGTGTATTACTTCCGATGACTAATAGTTTCATTGGTATTGATAATTAAGAACGGCAAGACTAGGTCGTGAAACTGCGTCTGACCGAATTGGCGTTAGAAAAAATAATAATATCATATAGGTAATACTCACAGTAACGTGAATTTAATATAATAATAATAGTTTATGATGACGGCGCATCATGTAGGCAATTTAGCACCATCATGGTCCGCAGCCGTCGCGCAAGGAGAAAAAAACTGACGGCTTATTATTATTATTATTGATACTGTACCACTAGACTCTTCCGTAATGCGGTTGGCTTAGGATGGCAAGCTAAGAAAACCCAGAGTGTATAGTTAACTATCGTACAAGAAGCTGGTGACCAATATTCTAATAAACAAAACCAATAATTTTTAAAAACACCGTCGTGCTACAAATATACACTATAATACGCGTCGTATAAAATACACAATATAAATAATGAAAGACGAGAGCAAAAATACAAGAAATACTAAAATATAATAATAATGACAAATCGATTTTTATTGATAGTAATTAACGTGATCGATATCACTGATATCACGGATAGTATACAAAACAAACAAAATAACAGTACCAGCAAGCTGCTAAACTCCACCGACGGCTGGGTCCCTCGCAGTGTGATCAATAGACTAGTGGCGGTTAATTATTGGCCTGATATCACTTTATGATAAGTGACAGGTGTCAGGTCATTGACACAAAAATCCAAATAATATTTACGCACTCGTAACAGACAAGGGACGCAATGAAAGTGACCACCCGCAACAACATTGTTTATACAATGACCACTACGCAGATGACATAAAGACTGCAAAGTCAATGCACGGCTTCAACGACAATAAAATCACAACAACGTAGATGACGTAAAGGCCGCGAAGTCAATACACGGCTTCAACGGTTCACACTGCCAATAGTGAATAAACGCGCCCACGCACGACAGCGACGATGTCCCGCGCGACAAGATGCCGAACAATCAAAGGAAACGAGTGTTCGCAATACTACACCACACGCCACCGGCGCAAAATGGCACAAAATGGCCCACAATGGCAAACTCACACGCGACAAAGGCGACGTCTCGAACGATGGTCGCGGAAGAACAGATAGTACGTCGTACGTCCGTGGATATCCACGGTTGTCGTACAGGCAAGTGCAGAGGGGACTAGGACTATTTTACCTATCGTGTTTTCACACAACTAATAGAACTTAGCTATTTTATTAATTTTCTTTTGTAAATATAAACCTATCAATTATAACATATTTAAAACTATAATTAAATAAATATAATTTGATTTTATTATGAAATATATTTTTGCCGCGGTAAAACCTCAATTCCTCCCACTGTGCGACGGTTGAGCTCGCCAAGCTTATCGCGTACAAAAGGTCGTCGGCCTTAGTCTCGAAATATTGCGACAAACGATATCATTTTATATCTTGAATAGGTACTATGGGCGGAGTTAATTTTCTTGAGAATTTCAATGTTTCTAAATCAAAATTTGACTTATAATAGTTTCATAGTTTTTAATTTATAATGTGTTAAGGATAATTATTAAGGATTATTATTATTATAATTATATAGGTTTATGGCTTTAGGTTTGGAAAATATTTTTTTTTTAAATCAACCAATTACGAAATAGTTTTTTTTTACCATTTTTTATTGTTACATATATATACGATTTATTACGTTTTTACTTTAATTAACAGTTACATATATTTTTAATTTTTTATCATATTCCTAAGCTGAATATTTTTCTGAGGATTAAAATTTATACAAATTTAAAAGAGTTTTGAATAAGTAGTTATAATTTGAATTATTCATCGGTATTTAAAATCTCGATAAGCGGAGTAGGGGACTAATATATTGTGCAGGGTACCTCTGTGAAACTCCATTTTGCTCATCAAACATTAAGTAGGTACTTTTACTATACAGTTATATACTACTCATTCAATTTTTATAATATAATATTATACAAAGTGTTTGAAGGGAAGATTTGGCTTAAATGTATGATTATATATATTATGATCCTATTTGAAATACAACTAACTCTTCAATATTTAACGTGAATTTATTATTTTTTTATTTTTCATAATGATCCTTAAGCGCAGCTATCATAGCCATAAGCTGTTTGTATGGTAATTTTGGTAGTAGTAAGGTTTGGAACGGTAGGTTTTAACACGTGTGAGGAGTTTGTGTTTGGCAGAATTTCGATTGGGCACAAGGTCGAACTGTCAAAGTATGATTCAAGTATCTTTATATCCAATATAAAGATTCATACACGATTCAATATTACTATTTTATAGTTTTAAGTAAAAAAAAATTTTCATTTGAAGAATAGAGTGCCACAGGACTCTCCGTAAGTGGTATGGAAAATCTCAAGTGTTCGAAAACAATATTTACTTATTTTCAAATACATAATATACACTAAATTATCTATACGATTTCACTTTGAAAGATAACCAGATCAAATGAACTACCAGCAGGAAATAGAAATAAAAATTTTTTTAGACTCGTTAACAATAAAGTGGTCGAAAAAAGTGTATGGTATTTTGTAATTTATTTTGCTTCCGCAAACCGCGTGTATTTTATGTATACGAATTCGTGTGGTAAAAATATGAATTTAAATTTAAAAAACCCGATATCGTTTTTGAATATTTGCGAGTACAATTGCAGTGAATAAAAAAACCATAAGGTAAAAATAAAATATCCGATTAAACACAATGCATAACAATATTATGAACATAACTGACATACTAATAATAATATACAATATCTGATTGATTTAAAAATAAAAATTCTCTACCATTGTTCCCATAAAACCGAGTTAATAATAATTTTGTATTTATAGTATTTGACCTAATACTGTTGTATGTCACTATACACAATACGAAACGCGTCGAAGAGTAAATACAAAATTACCCTCGAATGTGTTTATATAAAATAAATAATAATAAGCATACTTTTCTACGCTACTTATGCTAAATATAATTTTACTCCGACATTTTAGCGAGTGTAAAATAGCCTTGAAGTCTAAAAAGATGTATAAAATATATATTTTTTAATTTCCTGTGCAATTCGTATTTTGACTGGTCTTGATCGAACGCTCGACTTGATATACATGCTACAATAATTAATAATCTAATTTACCTAATCATACTTCGACTCGACCAATTATTATTATTCTTGTTAGGCGTGCATAATGGGTAACTAACTAGGCACTTGGATAAACATCAATAAATACTCTTTTTTTCGAATTGTATGAACGGTCACGAAAATTGAATTTCTAATCACCCATGACGTGAATACCACGATTTTAGTCGAAGGTCGTGAAAATAATGAACATTATTACGTTTCGTGCAAAACGTTCGTTATTGTTTTCAAGAGCATCCAATTATCTATACCTACGCCGTTGTGTAAAGCTCGCTGGCTTGTTTAACTTCCATTAACTCGAAAGTCGTATACCTACGCACACCGTCCTTATATATTATATTCTTATACGGCTTTATTGTGTTTTGCGCCTACGTTTCATTTCTCCAAATAATATGTTTGTGTCGTTATTAAATATTACATCTCTATAGCGTTTCTAATTACACCGCCATACTATATGGCCATCTGTGTGTGTTCCTATAATCTGTGACCTGGTTGGAAATTGTACCATCCGATTGGATGTGATTGGCTATCACCCTCGACGATCGGTCGCTCGATTAGACGACAGCTAATAATTGTATATAATAATATGTTTATTGTCTGCCTCCAGTGAAATAATATTATTATATTATATAGGTAGTATTATCGCGTCAATAATATTGTTTATTGTTATTAAATCATCAACGTTTATACCATATTACCATGTGAAAATAAAATGTAGGTAACAGTAAATGTAAAATAAAAATAACTGTACGATGTCGAAGGTAAATAATAATATATATAGCAACGATTTAATTAAATAATATTATATCCGTTTTTTAATGTCAATATTTGAATAAATCGCATTGAAATAATAATGGACGCATTGTCCAGATTTATGATGGTAACCTTATTTACAAAATATAATGTCGATAAAATAATATGTACACACGTTTCGTACCCAAATTTTTTAGTAAGAACCTGACTGTTGCTATAATATATATTATTATATTGAAAATAGGTAGTTTCATCAAGCATTACAATAATTTTTCATCGATTCTTAGAACAGTAAGTACGTACCTATTTTTATCGATTTGGTTGAAAATAGAAGAAAGATGATATTATTAAGGAATAGGGGTTATACTTAATATTATTATAATATATTAAATTTTTCTTCCCGTCTCCCACACATAGCCCTGAATAAATCGTATAACATACGAAACTACATAATATATATTGATCTGATGCCCTTAAATACTATTAATAAATTCAACTTATTTAAATACCTATTTGCATGGTCATTTGGTATTTTCGATTAAATTATAGTAAATCGAATTATTATTTCTTTCACGTTTAGACGGGTAAAATAAAAACCTTCCAAATCGTATTTGCAGAACACAACGAGAGACATTTTCGGGACAATTTTTGGGGAAGACAAGATCTGCAAGTGTGTGGATACTTTCCACATAACATTTTTTATACTACTCACCTAAAGAACAGGGTTCGTTCATTTTTGTGTCGTTGAAACACGCGGTCTTGTTGTGGACACTAAGCTTGCACCAAGAGCAAGTGAGCGCTATGATTTCCTTGGAACTGAACGACAGCACCGACTGGAACGCCTGCAGACAACACAAAAACCGGCTGATTAGTCGTGCGAAAATCGTTTCGAACTTTTTAAAGTTCAAAAGGCAACACCGACAATAATCGGGCCTGAAACCGTTGTATAAATTAACGGTTAACTAAACCGAAAAAAATGTTGATAACGGTTACCAGTTTTAAATCGGTTCTGTCGTTAGTGGTTACCAATTACCGGTACTATACACACGATTACAGGTTACCGATTAAGCAAAATGCCGGTTACCCGTAACCGATTAAATACCGGTTTTCTAAACAAATTTTATTATTTCTATGAAGTACCTATGATTTAATAATAGTTTTAAGAAGTTATTAATTATTAAACTTTTATAGTAGCTACGAGCTTATCATTATTTATATAGCTAATATAAATTAAACACAATATTATAGTTCATAGGTAACGGTAGTCGGTACTCGGTGTTTGTTATATCCCAAAACAATCTTCATCTTTCTCTCCACTTCATCCAACTCCATGTAAAAAATTGCCAAGTCAAAAAAAAATAGTCATTTATAAAACTTTAGCATTATAAAGATGTACTATCATTAATAAATGCTAAGTAAATTAAATTTAAAACACATTTATTTTATCTACATAATGTATTTACTTTGCGAGAATTTATTTTATTTACAAAAAAAATTTAGTAACATTTTTAATTGAAATTTATTAAATAGTCCAGTTATGAACGGACATGTTTATTTGTTGAGATAAATTCTAGCAAAGTGAATAAATTATTGAGATAGAATAAATAATATTTTTAATTTGATTCACTTAGCATTTATTTATGATATCACATCTTTATAATGGTCAAGTTTTGTAATTTTTTTTTTTTAATGCCATCTTAAATTAAGTCGTATGGTTTCAGACGCCTAAGATGTCTGAAGTCTTGGAGTTATCTAATAATTGGATGACCAATGGATTGAAATGGTGATCTGTCCTCGTATCGTATTTGCGAGCAAACCTTTGGACTTCGTCTGCTACTGTAGGCAGCATCACATCACGATGGTGATATAATTGCGTTGTTTCTTTCGAACCGGAAGGTTGCAGTAATGGTCGGAAGAGCGATGTTTTGACAGCGTTGTATTACATCGATATTAGACGCTATTTTCAAGTTTCTCCAATGTCTCATTTAATTTTGTTAATGCTGCCATCACGTCAGATAGCAACGGTACATTTTTATTTTGTAGTGTTTAAGTTTGAGTCAATGGACCCTTTTGATTTTCGTACATCTGTGCAAAAGAAACTTCTCGAGTGACTGGTTTCGCAGGCTTTTGTAGTATTCTTTGTACTGCTGTAGTTTTTTTTTTTGGTGAGCTTTTTCTATTGCATTTTTATATGTGATGCATACTTTCCAATTAGCGCTGTGTCCTTCATCACAGTTTGCGCATTTCGCCTTTGATTTCTTAAACTAAGGGCAATTTAGTGAAGTATGACCTTCACTACAATTTACATACTTTGGTGTTTTGAAACAATAGTTTTGAGAGTGATCAAATAATTGAAAATGTTTACATTGTGGCACTTCTTTTTTTTCCTCGGAGATTCCACTTTTATTATATTATGATAGCACACATTTTTAATATCATAAATATCTTTGTTGTTTGCTTGTGGCTCCAAATCCACGAAGAATAATGGAAGCATTACAATAGTTCGATCACTAAACTTGTTGTTAGGATCGACTTTTATCTTAATTTGAATGTTCGTAACATTATGTACAAGATGTCCTAATTCGGATAATTCACTTTTAACGTCACAGGGGTCAGTTTCAGGGTGCAATCCACGAATTACCACCTCAAACTTGTTTTCTGTTTGAAGTTGGTATCTGTGATACTCAACTTTTTGTTCTTCTAATACTTTTATAGTTCGTCGAAACTGGTGTTCGTCGCCTGTTAGTATCTTAATTTTACAATTGGCCAAAGTTTTCATTTGTTGCTCGCAGGCCCAGATTAAAGTTACCACAGGCCCTAGACCAATGCGCTAATACGTTCCTGTAATGTTCAGTATTTGAATGATTAAGAAACCTAATGTTTGGGACAGGTAGTGTCAAATCTCAGTGTTTTAAGCCTTTAAAAACGAAAATATTTGCAACATGAAAATCATCATGATGTTTTACATTTTAAGCACATGATAAGTTCTATTCTTGTTACATAGTTATGTTATTATTACTTAATATTACAATGGGAATATTATAAGTTTAAAAACAAGTGTACCACTCATAAGAGGTTTCTCCCAATAAGACACGAAACCGAGGACTATATTTAATAAAAAAAAACCAATAATAATATTGCGTGTGTGAAATGTTACGAGTTGCGACCCATACACTATTGACGGTTTCAAATAATAATGACCAAAAAAAAAATTGTTTTTATCGAAAACGAAGTTAACCTACTGTAGTACTATTTCCTAAAAGTGAAATGAATTACTTTAATCAAAGTAACTAAGTAAGTAAAAAAAAATAAATTTTTGTGTTAAAATTGATATTCAAATAGATTTCCAAATAATTAGGTACAGTAATATCTCATATTACTTAAAATATGTTTGAACAAAGAAAAACTACGTTCTGAAATGAAATATGCAGAAAGTTCATAACTCAGGTTGATCCTTTATATAACACAATATTTGATCAGATTTGATTCATCTTGTGTGCAAACACAGGCGCAATGTCAATTAATGTCCACCCACATGTGTTGTCTGCGTCTTACAAACGTACAACGTAGCAAAAACTATTTTGCGCGAAATAGAACCACTGTAGTCCAACCTCAGCAATCAAATTTTCATACTATTAAGAGGAGAACATTTACTGTGTAATATTGTTTTTATTTTTTCCATATCATAAATACAAGAATACAAGAGAAGTTCTTATTGTTTATAAATTAATTATTTCAAACTTGAATAACTTTTTTTGTATTTTTGATGTCGAAAAAATGAAAACGATGTTTCACAGTAAATGGTCTCTTGTTTATAGTGTAAAAATTTGGTTGCTTAGCATTCGAGTGGTTCTATTTCGCGCAAAACAGTTTTTGACATGTTGTACGTTTATAAGGCGGAGACCACACAAATAAATACAATTCTCAAATAGATTGAGAATAAGTTATAATGGTAAACAATTTAAGCCTTAAGGTTTCCAAAAACTCCGGGAAATTGTAGTTTTTTTTTTTTTACCGAAAACTGGTTTCAAGCCCGGCTGAATGCCATAATATAATATTATACAATACTATACGCACCTTTCCGCATTGCGAGCACTTGTCCTTTTGCGTCCTCCTGTGCATCCAATGGTGCTTAACCGTTTTGTGTTCCCTGTACTGTCGAACACCGTCGTCCTTGAAGCTCGACTTGCACTTGGCCGCTTCCGGTAGATTCCCAAGACACTCCGAGTGCACGATTATGCGGCAACCCGAACATTTCAGGCGGACTCCGTGTTTCTGGAGGGGACAAAAAACGAAAACCGTCACATTATTGACAATAATAATATAATAATTGTTTACCGGTCGTGACGTTATAATCCGGTGTTATTAGGTATTTAATATTGTGATGATTGAAACGCTCAGTGGAATAACCGACAGGTCCACTAATATTGGAAATTGACTTTTTCATGAAACCGAAATCATGGAAGAAATACCTTTATATCGGTATACCAACCATGCAAATCCGATTATTACATTCCACGAATTATTTCCTGTATCACCTTTAATTGTCACCCTGTACAATTCTGAAAAGTTGATTTTCCCGGTCGTTCCACTGAGAGCTTCAATTACAAACATGATAATAATTTTGTTGTAATATCACTGAAAAAATTGTCATGCCTATATCGTCAGCGTTCATAGGCGATGGGACCTAACTTTAAGCGGTTGTCATTCTAGTCAATTTTTCTAAATAATTTAAGTTTTTAAAATATGTTAATCGGAACACTAATGATCGTAATAGTGTGTTTTATGTGTGTCGCATTCCTATACCATACACTCAGTTTTATGTGGGAGGATAGCAACGTGTTCGATTCCTGTATTACAGACGTTTAATATGAGACTGGATAGTATGCTTAGTAACTGAGTGACATTGGATTTTAATTTGTTGCTGGAGGTCGATCGATCAGTTTTTCTCGAATATCAATAATTACCTATTACTATTCAACTGCAAGAATCGATTATTAAAACGAAATTAATATAGTTTTTTAACTTTTGATTTCTGTACCATAATAATGAACGAACGAAAATTGCATCGATCGGTTCGTGCAATAACACCTTGACGTACTCAACTTTTTTTCACTATGATACAATTCTGGGTTCTTGAAGTATCACTTTTTAAGCATAGTGTTTTATCAACACATCAAACGACCGAAACTCGATTAATCAACGGTCAAAGTCGTCATCGCATATTAAATAATAATATACCTAGGAACTTCATAACCACTTGCAGGATGGTTTGCATTCGGATAAGTTTTTATAAATAGTGTTTGAATGAATGGTATTAAAATATTGTAGTGTGCTCGGGTGACCTTTTTTAATATTATATACTGCACCTACATAGCGTTTGGACATTATTTAATCGATGCATTTCCCCTCTTATTTTAACATATCATCAAGACTATCCGTAAATTATAAAACTTTCATTAAAAAAATGCATCGGTTTTATTTTTACTTTTTATTAAATATCACGAATCGAGTTTAAAATCGTGTTTGTTAAATTATTAATCGATGTTCCTTTTTTCGGTAGATCGAAAACGAAATTTCCGTTTTTAAATGATTTGCTTCACTTAAAACGTAATGTTCGATCAAAACGTATTGTTTATTTCATGTTCTTATATAAAATCGTTGTCAATTTTATGAACCGTGTTTGGTAAACTACAATTTATTGCTACAAATAAATTACTAATAATACCGATATAACGAATTCACGTTTCCAATAGTCGTTTACAACTACTGATATTAACTGTTAGTTCACTGTTAAATTTTATAACCATAACATTTGATAAATCTATAGATATTAGTCAATATTTCCGATCACGAAATAAAATGTTTTCTCGGCCAAGGCTGGAATTTGATTTTTGCGCACCGGAGGTGTCTTCCAGCGTTTAATGTACAAACGGTAATTTATTTACGATAAACACATATAATAATTATGAAGGTACTGTAAAAATTTAGGGATATTTGAAAAACTTGTACAAGTGGGGGGAGATGTCCTCGCTGCCACCTTCAGTTTTCACCAAACCCATCATAAGAATCTCTACCAAACACATTCACACGCTATTCACATGAACGTTTGAAAAAAGGTACTATTCGTATACTAAAACGATGATTATCGTTTAGTTGAATTAACAGTCATCGCTACGTACCAACAAGTTATCTATCCTTACCTTACATACCAATGTCGTAATAATATTACCATCGAACACGCGGCGACGAGGAGGTGCAACCTTTGGCGAAAAATCTCTGTGCAAGATTCGTGACAAGATGTCGGCCATCGGGGGACGATGAGGATCGACTCGCGTAGAGGCGTAGGATCTCTCGCGAGACCGAAACCTCAACGTCAGAGGGGCTGCAAGTCATGTCGGCGAGCGGAAGGGGTTCGGAATTAATCAATATTGACGGCCGTTAAGCCGCAAACCCCGCGCCGTCGGACCGCAGCGGGAAAATGCATTTACAGTCGATGCACACACCCACACCCACATCCCCCCCCCACACACACACACTCAAACACATAGGTGACAGTATAATACTATGTTTTACGTATACGACACGCTGCTGTATAGGTTATTTAATGAATTTAGCTCGTTACGCACATCAGACGGCGTGTAGGTATATATAGCACTAATATAAGGCACCACCCTGGCGATCGTTAAATGATGTCTACGCATGCTAATACGACGGCGGTATGATGTCATAAAAAAATAATGTATAGAGTATTTCGTCGGTGGTGACGGCGGTGGCTGCTGTTTTCCTGGAGTTATGTGCCGAGGGGCGCGTCTCATCCCCGAACACGGGTAACACGCACCGCCAAGTAAATACCAACGCCGCGACGGCGGTTTTGATAATTATAATAATATTATTGCTACACATTTTGAACATCATCTCCAAGTCTCCGCCACACGTGTTAAATAATATGATGTTCTTTTACGACGTAAGTCGTCACAGAGCCTCTGCCGGCTCTCAGTGATGTGATGTAAACCCCCTCCCCCAAACAGTAGGACATTCGGATAACACCACGAGTGCGGCACTGCTATATTATGTTATTGTTTAGTAATATTTCAATGAATGGTCTGTTTTCAAAACTGACGATTATGGCTGTACTCCTAAGTTAACGACAATATTTTCTAGCCGTTTTACAATATTTAACGTCTAACTGTCACGGACAATGATGAAATATCCATATTAATATATTATTGTCTGTTAGTTTTCATGAATTTCTACTAATTTACGTTCGTAAACTTTCTGGAAAATTGAAATAATAAATAACAATACTAAATAATTCAATATCAATGCCATAGTGCATTTTGTGTGTTTTCTAATTTCAATAAAAATTCAGTATAATTTTTGAAAAAAAAAATTATATTCATTGTAAGAATAATAATAAATTATATCTAGCACGTAATATTACTTGTTGATAACACAAGTATTTTCATAATGAATATTATTCTAAGTGTATTAATATTATATTTTATAACCATTAGTATGAAGTAATAATTTGATTTAAATATTAATTCATTTTTAAATTAAATATTTTTATTTTTAATAGAGTAGGTATTAAAGCCGTTAGTTAAAAACCAAAAAAATAGATTGAATCATCATTTATGTATTTAAACGGAATAATTAAAGATTAATTTTTTTGAAACTAGATATAGGTAATATACTTTTGTGTAAAATAATGTATAGTTAAAATGAATTATACAATATGTATACAATTTGACATTTGTAAATCATTTTTTCGTTAAATAAGAATTATTAACAAAATTTCAATAATTATTTTTTATGTAATAAATGTACGTTATTTTGTATAAAAACTATTGACCATATTAAAGTTGGTGCGTTCTACACAATTCATATTATTTAGGTACAATCCACATTTTTGTATTTATAATAATATACATATTAGTTTTTATAATCTATAACCAATATTTATTTTATAAAATTGTAGCTTTTGGCCAACAACATTAACTAGGATTACAGGTGAGTTTATTTTTCCAAATATAATAATATTATTATTGATATATTATAATTTATAATATTTTAAAGACAGGTTTAGCGTTTATCGGTTTGTATTCTTCTGCAGTACCCATTTTATCATTTTAGCTGGTTGTTTATTTTTTCATACATTTAAAATTTTACTTCATACAATTTACCTTTATACAAACACACGTTTTTTCTAATAGAACAAGTTTTTTTTCAAATTTGTTTTATTTAACATACAATATCCACCAAGCGCACATATCACAATTATAATGCTATGTTATAATCTAATATAATATAAATAATTTAAATACGTAACATGTCCGTATAAATGTATAAATAAATATATATATTTATATATATATAATAATATGCAGGTTGTAGGCATGTATATTATATTATTATGGCCCTAAGCCCCTGACCATACGATGCACAGAAGAAGCGAGGTTATATTTGGTCTCCTCTGCAACACCTGTGTGATCAAAAAAGATCCTCATGTTTTCTAGAACACCCATTACGACCAAGCACATATTTCACTATGTTTCATTAATATTTAAATTTTTATATAAATTTCGTTAGTAAAGATTAATATATAGCTGAAATAATAATATTTTTGTCACCTTAATCCTATTCGAATATTATACTTATTTTGTATGTTATTCAAAAAATATTGATATAATTTTATCTAGTGTTGTAATAAAAAAAAACGATTTTAAGTTTTTATAAGAAAAGCTCATAATGCATTATTGCTGGTGATTATTATATGTTTTTTCAAACAGATTATCATTGATCTTATTATATTAAATCAATTCATCAAATACATTTGTATTAATAAAAATTGTTTTTTTTTAAAATTATATACGTCAATAATTGTCATCTAAAAGTATCCATTTTATGTCACCATGTACAACAGAAAAAAAAATTATTTATTTTAAGTGCGTGTAATAATGTATTATTAAAATTATTATTTGATGGTAACATGGTAACACAAATTCACAACAATATAACACTAAGCCACTAAGGTATTATATTATGATTATTTTTTTATTATATTTAAAATGTGTGAAATCGTTATATCATACTACATAATATTTTAGTATTTATTTAGGTATATTACATATTTTATGTCAAAAAACGATAAAAAAATCTTTGTTTTTGACTTGCAGTGGATCGTTCTTTTTTAACTTTGTGAATTTTTACCTATTACATTATGATCGATGTCATACAATGTATATTAATATTTTTCTTTACACAGATAATGG